TAAAAAAAAGTTAGTATTTTCGTAGATTTCAGTACCTAAAACCTTGATGGTTTGATCGTTTTTTGCACCTGTTTATTCGTTTTACTGCGGCGTCTTTGAAAATATTCAGGTGGTATGACATAACATTCCTGTTATTTGATAAGCTTTAGATTATTCAGTTATTAAATATTTGAAATTATTTGTCTTTGCGGAAAACACTATTTAAAGAATATGGGGCCCTTAACATTGGTTTCATTAATAATTTTCTTTAAATTTAAAGGGATACACAGATTTGACTGTATTTATATGTTTTGTAGATTTGACACTATGGCGAATTCTTTCGTTTTTTTGCCATGGATTCCATTAATCTATTATTGTTGGTCTATTTAGAAAATTATAACCCCTGATTGGCATATTGGCAATACCCCAGATTAATTTGAATTAATGTGGGGCAATACAGAATCCACAGATCCAAGAATTCTTGATCTGTGTTCACGAATATCTAACCAAACTAAGTAGCAAAACATTTCATTTACTATATCAATTCCCCTTTTTTAATTTGTCAATGCAAAATGCCGAAAAAATTTTGCTTACCTAACTGTAAAGTACAACGAGATGATCCGGATGGTCTTGATCTGAGCTTTTATATGTAAGTACGAGTATAAGTAACTTGAAAAATGTATAATGCATTTACAACGGCATTTTGGAGACCTTTTGAAAGGGAACAAAACGAAATTTACCATCAATATAATAAAATTGTTTTGAAGACATAAATAATTAAAATATGTTGTTGGTCAAATGAACATATAATAGAAATTTTCTACACAATATATACAAATTATTATAATTTTTTACCTCGAACAGAAACCTTTTTTAGTGTCCAAGTGTCCAGTAGCAAAGAAGCACCTGTGTCAGATGACGTAGAGTTAAGTTTGATTGATCCCAATGTACAGGAGAGTAACGATAGCAGGTATACACGTATACATATACTGTGAAACAAGTGTGTTTTTTATGTAATGTATGTGTATTCTTTCAGTATCAGTGAAGTTACCAGCTCTAAGGTTACCACGATAAGATCTAGCAGTATGCACAAAAAGTCGCTATCAAATATTGATATGGATTCAATACCATTTACAATGGAGAATCTACCAATGATAAGAAGAATCCTCCTTAATAGACAAAATGAAGTTATTGCTCTAAAGCGAAAGTTGCAGGTAAGACGTACGAGGGTGTATTGCTACAAGAAGAGAGTTACTGATGTGAAATGTTTAACTTCTCATATGAAAAATCATAAGTATTTGAAGGACAAGGTTTCAAAACTTCTTGAAGTAAGTATGAATGTTAATAAATGCGAATAGGTTGAAATTAAGTATATACTATATATTCATCGAGATCTTTTACAATTTTGATCAATAGTGAATGTACAGGAAAAATCATTAACAATGTATGTATACATACTTAAATTTTTGTATCTACTGTTTATATAGAAAATGTTAGAAAAACGATTTTATTTTAATTTGAATGTAATGAGTGGAAGTGGAATTCAGTAAAAGATATGTATGGTCATCATATTGTATGAATTATTATTGTTACGGTAAACCAATGAAGTGACTAATAATTAAGTATGAGATTTTTTATGACAGTTTGGAGATGTATGATCATTGTATGAAATACAGGGTAGCCCGAAATTAATGCAACAAAATTTGGTCATAGATTCTTAAGACAAATTTAGGCACCGATATTTTTTCTTTTTGTCAAGTACCCCTCTTTTGGAGTTACAGCCCCCTGAAATCTGCCCCTAAGAAGTTTTTTTATATCTCAGAATCCTGTTGTACGAAAATCACTAAATTTGGTACACAGGAGTTTTATGACGTGGAATCTGATAATGCTACACTTTTTGGCAAGAAACTCCCTTAAGACACTTTTTCGTGGGCCTTCTTATCTTTGGAACCAAAATAATTTTGTCGAAAATTTGAATTTTTAAAAAATTTTTTAGTTAGAAAGCCATTGAATTTAGCCATTTTGTGTCTAGATATTTTTTTTGTAAAACCAATGTTCTTGAGAAAAATGGCGAATCATGATATGCATTCGACCACATTTTGACATTTCTCTCAAAAACATTGCGTTTTACGAAAAAAATATCAAGACAAAAAAGTTTCTAAATTCAATGGCTTTCTAGCTAACTAATAATTTTTAAAAAATTCAAATTAGCGACCAAATTTTTTTGGTTCCAAAGACAAGGGAGCCCACAAAAAAGTGTCTTAAGGGGTTTTTTTGCCAAAAAGCGTAGCACTATCAGATTCCATATGTCATAAACGTGATTCTCGTACAACAGGGTTCCCAGATATAAAAAAAAGATTATTCTTAGGGGCGGATTTCAGGGGGCTGTAACTCCGAAAAAGGGGGCCACTTAGCAAAAATAAAAAATATGGGTCCCCTAAATTTGTCTTAAGAATCTGTGACCAATTTTGTTGCAATAATTTCGGGACACTTTGTATGTATATTCTTATTGTAACAGTATGCTTGTATGAAAAATACTACGTATAGGCTAAATCGTCGTAAGAAACATATTTTATATTAAGTGAGCATATGGGATATGAAAAATATGTATACAAGATACTTACCTTTAACTCATTGTATGACTAGTGACTACGATGAATTGCACATTGTTTATAAAGATTTCAGTTGTATAAAATACTTAGATGGTTTCAAGATAATAAATCATATTTTATGACAGTGTATTATTGTATACACGTCAACTTTCTAAAACCAAATAAATATTTTTATCCTGCATTGAAAATTAAGAATTCTATCTTTTGATTGTGAGTGATCAATGTCTATTTATTGCAAGTGACTTAGTAATAATGAAATGTCATCAATGTTTCATTTTTTTATATGATTTTTATAATTCATAGTTTATACTATATTATTTTGTATACATTTTTTTATACAGCTTCATAAACATGGTCTATACACTTAATTTGTTATGTATAAGCGTGTAGAGTTAATTGTTTATTGGATTTATGTTTACGATAATAATCTACTTAACACCGAGTAGATAATAAATGTCGAAGACCGACAAGACAACAAACAATTTACACCTCTTGTAAATTTAACTTTGGACTAAATTGTTCACTTTTTTTTATTCACTGATCTCTAATACTACCTTACAATAATAATAAAAATGTTCGATACAGTGTGTGTAACAAACGATTTACGCATGCTCTGTGTGCGATCAATCGCATTCTGTATCGAAAAATGACGTTCAATACGTGTGCGAAAATTGATTTTGCACTCGTGTGATTGTCGCCCAAGCGAAGCGAAACCTCACACTCGCATACGATCAACTGTTTCTCACTTGTATCAACATACTAAAACTAATATAACTTTTAATGCTTGTAATAATCACCTAGTTGGTACCATACTAAAAACGAAAACAAATTATGCGAATAAAATAATCTACGATGAATAATATTGACAAACCAAATTTTGGTGTTTTAAATATTTACAACACTCCCATTTTTAATAAATTCATATATAACTACTATTGAAAATGTAATTTTGTCATAAATTAATAATATTTTTCAATCATTGTAGGAATCGGTTCCAGCACATGCTTCTGAAATTTGGAAACGAATCATTCTCTTCTCTTAAGAAAATTTGCTTCCACACTGCACTTCTATTCTCCAAAGGCGATCCAATTACGATAGCAAAATGGTATAGAAATGTTGAATGTACATCTGGTATCAACGAAGAATCATTAAATGCTGTTACAAAAAAAAAACTTAACGAAGAGAAAAAAAACAATGGAAACAAACCAGTATTATGCAATTTAGTCATGGATGAGATGAAAATAAAAAAATCTATTGATAACGTTAATGGTAAAGAACGCTACATAGAAGTTGTGAAAATAGCAAATGAAAAATTTAATTATATAAAGTGCTACGGTCTATGGTTCTGGTTGCTGCCAGTTACATGCTTACCATGTACTTCCTTAACTTTAACTAGCAGTCAGGGCAAAGCTTTTGGAAAAAACACCTCTGAAGATGCTGACAGTGAAAAATGACGAAACATTTTAAAGCATTGACCAGTTACAGAGGCTACTACCCAACATCTCATTATGTGAGGAACAGGTTCTGCCCATAGCAATGTTTGACCCAAAAAAAAAACGAAATGAATATCAGGGCAATCCTAGGGGTTTTGATAGCAGGTCCGTCTCCACAGATCCTAGCCCGAGAATGATAAGGACAGGTCACAGGTTCCTAGTTAAGACTAAGGAAGTGTAATGTAAGTCTGTAAGTGCCGGCGATCAGGTACATAAACCAACAACCTGAAAATTTGTTGTATTTTAAATATCAACATGGGCCATAAAAGCTTTAAAAACAACCAGTTATACAGGGTTCTTCAGGATAAGTGGCCTATTACACGTTTCAGACGAACCAAAGACAATATGACTCTGAAATTTTATGTACGGGGATTATCAGATATGCTCTCTTCAATGAAAATAATGCCATCAATGTAGCAGTTCCGGTTATACCGGAAGTAGCTGTCAACTTCGTTATTTTAAATGGAACACCCCCTATATATTATTACATTATCGACAAGATAAATTAAAAATAAATCAAAAATGTTAAAGCTTGCCTGTACCTAAATCTAACCGTTTTCGAGATAATCGACATTTTATAAAAATTTTGACAGGTGCAAATGTTTCGAAAATTCCTCATATCTCTCTTCGTTCTGGGAGCTTTCACTTACTTTTCAGAATACACAAAGAACATAAGATGCACTAGTTTCCGCTATCAAAATTACCTGAAGAAAATTATACTACGTGTCTCATTTTTCACGTTACATTTTGAAAACTTTAAACCGACAAAACTTTTTAAATTTAAATGGAACACCCTGTATTTTTCTGCATCATATTATAGAAAATCAAATTCTCTTTTCACCGATAGAGGCATTGTAGGGGTTACAGTTTCAATTTTCTCAGATATTTGCGGATTACTTACATTTTAATGAATATTACGTTAAAATATCATCAAATGTGCCTTGAAAGGCAAATATTTGTATTGTCATTCAGTATTCTACAAGAGTATCAAGTACTTTGTCGACAAAATGCAAAAATGCAGAATAATTCATGCATAGATGACCTTTACAAAATCTACTACGCAAATCAAATAGTGGATACAATCCTTAAGACAAGTGATGGAATTAGGAATAAATGTAAAAATAGTTACCAAGTATTATTGTTTCAGTTGATTTCTGTGTAGGTTGTAGTTTTAACATGAGTGAAATAATAGTTCAATTTTCTGTACCCACTCTGAAAATGTCAGAATAAAAAAAAAATGTGTATACATATACAAAAATGATTTGACCTTATTCTTATAAAATTAAATCTAAAATGCGTTACCTCCTTTGAAACTACTTCCACTACCAAATTTTAAAATTTATAATAATCGTGATCTCAGCAGCAACCAACATAACATTCGGGCTAGCCCGTGGCCGCTGAACTAACCAATGCCGTCCCTTGCCTTCTTATACGTACCTACGACTAGAGAGTAATTGGAAACGTAAGTCGTTCACTAATTCACAATATTTGGCCCAAGCCGGGCAACCTGCATATGCCCATCGAGTGTTGTCTATGTTAATACTTTTCCCCGGCAGGCGATGGAAATATACCCATGTATATCTATTTGGAGTAATTTTGTTCTTTAAATGAATTTTTAAACATTTAGACCAATTTTTCCCTGCAAAAGTATTCCAGAAAACAAATCTTAGTAAACGAAATAATAAACCTTTTTATAATAATTTGTAAATCGACTTAAAATATAAATATCTATAATGATATGTTCAATGTTCTTTGATAATGATAATTATAATTGTTAAGGTTTTTTTTAACTCATTACTGTTAAACTGAATTAAGAGTGATGGCAGAGAAATTTTCAATGTTTTAATAGATAAAGCGGTCGATAGCCGCACGGTTTAAGGCGTCAGTACTTAAATCGATGTGTGCTATCTGCCCGGGTTTCAAATCCCGCGGCCGGTAGACCGTAGGTTAGCTATGCTTGTACGGAGGATTGGCACCCTCTGTGCAGGTATGGGAGGGTGGGAGAATGTTGGCTTGTGTCAATGTGAGATTGACACCGGTTGGCATTTGACCACCCCCCTAATTAATGAGGTTTTCCAGGTTTCCCTCATTCCTGCACTGAATGGTTGTTAGGGCCTACCAACATAAGTTGTTCCTGGGCGTAAATGCGGCCTGTTTAATAATAATATGCCGCCTCCTCTCCAGCACAAGTCTCCGACTTCTGGGCTAATTCTAATAGTTAGAATGAGTAGAGATATTATTATTATATTATTATTCGAGTTTGTAAATAATAAATTGAAGTAAATTATTTTTAGTACTTCTAAATCCAATATCTATTTTTTTCCAAATAATAAACTGTTATATTATAAAAAAAACTTTAGTTTCTATTTAATACATTTTTTGAATTTCAATCAGATTTTTAATAAATTATCATTTGAGTATGTATACATAAAATAAACCTACAAGTGAAGCCGAAGGTCACTCGTATATTCCTCGGGTACTTACGTGTACCTAATTTGTGGTTTGTTTGTTTTATTATTCCTTGTCCCTTATGACTTGGTTATAGGTTAGGATTAGTAGTAGTGGTTTAGGTAAGTTTATATTGTTTAATAATTTGGTGCAAAACAAAATAGCAAGTAAAATTTTCAAATTGTGGGTAGCAATGGTGATATTATTAATTTTTATTAGATTAGATAAACAATTTTGTATGTTAACGTTCGTTAATAAATTGTTTATTTCACAATTAAAACCTACGCCCGACATGAAAAATTTAATAAATAAAAAACAATTGCGGAAGCAACAGATCATTTAGTAAAAATTGGTACAATAAATATGAGTGATTAACAGGTACTGAAACGAAAAACCAATTATGTTGTTGAAATTGCTTCCTGTTTAATGAAAAAAGCAAAACTCCGTGAAATTATCTAGGATATTCAGATCTGAAACATATTAATGAATCCTTAAAAAAAACCGGAGGAGCATACATATTCATCATTAAAATTTAAATTATTAGGAAAACAAAACATTCAAACTATTGATTCCGTATTTTGTGAGATTATTTTAAAACATAATAAAGTCGTGGACAAAAATAGACATCGTAAAGTGCCTTATTGATATGGTTATTTATTATACTTTATTGTTAGTAATTTCAGTAACTGCTACTGCTATAAAACTGATAGAGAATTTTATTCTTTGTTTAGATAATTATATTATTTTTTATGTCCTTCTATACCTTAATCCCGGCAAGAAGTCGCTCTGATGACATTCTCGTTTCTTCTTGCTGAACTATTATACTTTTGGAATAATTATGTAGGTAATATAATAATTTGCCGGTATATTTATATTAACTATTTTCATAATTCGCTGGGTTAATGCAGAAGTATGATATGTCACATTTAGTACTTTTTACAGGAGAAGAAAAAAACTGAATAACTTGCGAAAGTTTAATATTAAAATTTTTAAAAACCGTTACTCTATTATATTTGTAGTGTAGAATATTCTCTTAATATTACTATACTTAATTTTTATAAAAATAAAAAAATATGGGACATAGCATACTTTTGTATTGAAAATGGTATCATATGTCCATTTTAAGTGACTTAGGATACTTTGATTTTGTAACAAGCATTGCCTATGTCCATACTTAGAAATCGAGAACAAAACTAAAACTATGCGTAATCAAGCCTATGTTACAATTACTATTGTAGGTGAAATAAGGGGGCCACAAAATTTATGTAACGTTATTTATTAGGAACAGAACTATTTTTCCTGGAACATAAAATGTTCACTGAAAACAATGTAAGATGAACCAACCAAAAAAATACAAAAACTTTAAAAAAAAATCAAAATCCTTATGGTAAAACTGGAATGGTGAAAAATAATTATTATTATTCATTATCTGAATATTCCTCATCCCTTACATTTTCACTGTAAGGTAGTCCTTGAAAAAAGTCGTGGTATTGAGAAGGTATAACCAGTTTGTTGCAAAGAAAAAGAAGGTGTTCGTACTTTTTTTTCTTGATCGGAACTAAAGTTTGATATAAGGGTTTCATTAAGTAATCGTTTTTCTTCTGCATTGTCTTTCTTCCTTTCTGTAGCAAATTTATTCTATTGTATTCTGTAGCTTCATACTCATACTTGAACAATATTGTGTCCGGATACTGCGGGTTCGTCTCTATAATTTTAATTTTCTGCCATTTTACTTTTTCGTTATTAGTGTCCTTATCCCAGTTTATAGAAGTGTGTAGTTGCAAGTCTTTTAAATCGAATATAAACTCTTTTGCCATTTCCCGAACCTTATACTGAGGATTATTTCTTTTGGCAGTACGAACCAAGGTATACCATTGGTCCGGTAAATATATTGGAATATTTTTGGAGGCGCGTTCTATCAGGCTATGTACGGAATCGCCTTCGTTCTGGGTATGGCCTTTTTCTAAATAACTATGACGAATTTTAATGGTATGTTTGTTAAATAATTATACAAACTGTAGAGGTATTTATTCCGGTTTTGTCCAGAGCAATTATCGGAATAAAAGGAAAATTCCTTTATGCCTTTTTTAACTTGCTCATCTATAAATAATATAAGACAGCTTCCTATTTCTGATG